ATATTCTGCCTAAAGCATCCTTGATTATGGCAACTCAAGGATTGAATTGGTTCTTCAGTTCCTTCAGTTTAAGAATTGCCGAGCGAGTTCAGCCCTTTTGATTTTCATTATACTACTTTGCTTTGTCTTCACTTGCTGCCCTTTGAAATCTTTTCAGCTCCTTCACATTTTCATTTCTTCCCTTTGCTTTGGCTTCTTGGCACTCTAGTGCAATATTCAGAGTCTCATCTGACATCCATCTTGGTCTTTTCTTCCTCCTCTGTCTTTACAATGACCTTTTGCATTCTTCCTGGATGATATTCTTGATATCCTCCCACAGCTCCTCTGGTCTTCGCACATTAGTGTTCAAGGCCTCAAATCTGTTCTTGAAATTCAAGCTGGATAGACTCAGGTCAAATTTTGGTTCCTGTGGATTTTATTTAACCTTTGTTCAAGCTTCAGCTTGAACTTGCATATGAGTAGTTGATGGTCTATTCCACAGTTGGCACGTGGCCTAGTTTTCACAGCTGATACCGAGTTTCTCCAGTGATTCTTCCCACAGATGTAGTCAACCTGATTATTTTGCATACTATCAAGTAAAATCTATTTGTATAATCTGCATTTACGTTTCTTGTAATAAGTATTTTCAATGAATAGATCATTGCTTGTACAGAATTCTGTCTCCAGCATCATTTCTATCACCAAGTCCATGTTTTCTGACTGCTGATCCTTCTTCCTTGTTTCCAATTTTTGCATTACAGTCACCTATTATTATTATTATTGTATCTTGATTGTTCTATAGATTTCTGACTGCAAAAGTAGGTAGAAGTCTTCAATTGCCTCTTTTTTGGCTGTAGTTGTTGGTGCATATATTTGAATGATAGTGGTATTCACTGGACTTCTTTATATGCATATGGATATTATCCTGTCACTCACAGCATTGTATTGCAAGATGGACCTAGAAATAAACTTTTTAACTATGAAAGCAACACCATTTTTCCTCACGTTTTCATCTCTGACATAGTAGATCATATGACTGTCTAATTCAAAATGTCCCATGTCAATCCATCTCATTTTGCCAATACCTAGTATTTCAATGCTTATGCATTCCATTTCTTTCTTAACAATGTTCAGTTTTTCTACATTCATGGTTCTCAACATTCCACGTTCCAGTCACTATTGTCTGCTTACTGTTCCTCCTCCTTTGTGTTTCCATATTTGAGGGCTCAGCCTCAGTTGTCATATGTGCTAGTCTAAGTGTGCTCTATTGTGTTCGAAGTCCTGCCATTTTGGAAGTGGATGGCTAATCCTTCTTCCTACTCTGTCTTAATTTGAATGCTCCTAAATATGTTGTTGTTATGTGCTGTCGAGTCACTTGCGACTCATAGCGACCCTGTGTACAACAGCTCTAAACTCTGCTCTGTCCTGTGCCAATCGC